GACTCTCGTTTGTTGCGACTGTATTTTTGTAAGCCAATGGCTATAATTGTATTGGTCGAGAAACCATTTTTTTTGTAACCGGACTTAAGTCTTGGAACTTGTAAGCCCTTGAGGGCATTTACTTACTTTTGACTAAATGCTCTACATATTGTATACTCATGTGCTACAATTCATTGAATGTATATCCGTATGTGAAACTATTTTGTTCAAACCTCATGATCTTTAAATGCAAGCAGTGAGGATTTATTTCGGTTTGTCATAAGAAATAATAGATGATATACTATCATTATGCGTATTTTCTTGGGGCGTTACAAAAGAAAAGAAAAAAAATAAAAACAAAAACAATCTATCTATCTATATATTATATAAGCAAAAGAGAGTTTTTAGTGACAAAGCCTCTAAGGCCTCCACATGTCCGACCTCAATTTCTTATTTTTTATTTTTAAAAAATAATAAATTATTCATATGTTTCACATAATTTTTGAATTAAAAAACAAATACATAAAAAATCTTCAAGCTCATCTCTTAACGTCATTGTCTAAAAGATAATCATTTCCTACAATCAAATATAGAAACATGATTTGTTGACTTTCCAATTTATTTGTATATCTTCTAAAATCTCTACCTAAAATCTTTCATTCCTTAAAATAAATTAAACAAAAATCAATTCAAATCTGTTTAAATTATTTTGTTTCATTAATTTTGTTTTCTTTATAATTAATTTGGAAAACTAGTTTAGTTATTTGTCTATAATTAAATTGTTTCCCTATAAATAAATTAAACATACTTATTTGTTTGTTTCCCATACTAAATTTGTAAATTTTTAAGTTTAAAACAAAAATAATTTCATGATTTATGATTTAGAAAAGAAAAGATGAAGAAGATCCTTTTTGTGCACTTTTTATCTAACCAATTCTTTTCCCTACCCCAAAATCCTAACCGTCATACATTACACCTTCTCCAAGTCATTTACATCCTCCTATTACATTCATGCGATGATGCAATTCAATATTTTTTCCTTATCTTTATCATACAATTAGAAGGTAGTTAATATTTTACATTCTTTAAACAAACTCTTTCATCTTTTAAGTACATTCATTATTATTATTATTATTTTACTTCTGACTATTTTTCTTTTTTGCATTTCACATTTTATGTGTCATTTGTCTCTTTAGTATCTACTTACCATTATTTATTTATTTTTGCTTATAACCATTTTTTTTGGGGGTGGGGAAATTCACTAGAATTTTTATTGAAATTTGTTTTTTTTTTTTTCATTTGGAAAATTATTAATAATGTTTTTCATTTGTGTAATAAAAAATATGTCAATAGACTCTTTCTTATGAAGTGATAGATTAAAATCTAACTCAATCATTATTAATAATTACCTCTGCCTCTACTGCTGCTCTTTGGCTCCAACTCAACTTCTTCCACTTGCCTCCAACACCCACACCATAATACAGATTTCTCGAAAACAACAGATTTAGAGCTATGGAGGACACTAGGCATAAACCGTACATGGAGCTTTGGACCTTTCCCATTTTCATTACTCTTCTTTGGGTCTTCCTTTTCTTTCTCTATATTATTCCCACAAAACTTTTTAATTGTTTTATTGGTCATAACTTGAAACAACTTTTTTGTATTCTATTTTTTTTTTCCTTGATATTTCACCAGGTCAAAACACCTCTCTCTCTCTCTCTCACGTGATAGCATCGATGAGATTGGGATTGGGAAAATTATTGGTCGTTCCTTGTTAATCATAAATTACATAAATTATTATGTTATCTCATGTTTTTTAATTAATTAATATAAATAGTAAATCTTATCCGCTTTTTTTTGGACCGATAATGATAGAGATCACTAATTTTAGAGTTCTAAAAAAATCACTAATGACATAATATTCAATAAAAAAAAAATACAACATAAAAATCAAAACATTAAATCATTTATAGTAAGACCCACTGTCACATCATTAATGATAACACTAATTAATGCTCACACTCATTTTCCTTTTTAGACATCTTATAGGTGGGGTGTCCCCTGTATTTGTTGTCACTAATGAGCTCTGACATTTTTGGAATCATGTTTGTCGAGGCTGAGGTTTCCAATCACCTATTAATTGACTAAAAATGCCTCAGACCCCCAGTGGGGGTCACTGGGGGTCATGAATGGTGGCTTCCCATTGGTTAAAAAAAAAAACTGTTTTTTTTTTTTTTTTTTTTTTTTTTTGGGGGAAAGGGGGGGGCCCCCCCCTTGAAGTTGAGGTTCCATCACTGCGAGTTATGGCTGTAGCATAACCGATTAATTGACTTTCATAATTTTATTTATTTATTTATTTTTATTATGTTAGAATTTAGAAAAATTACAATTTATTGGGCTTTTGAAAAAAAATTATAAATACATGAATAAATTTATAATTTTACTTATTAATGTTTATAAAATTTACAATTGATGTGTAATGTTTTTTTAATTTTACAATAAATTGTTATTTTTCCTTAGAATTTCCTTTCAAACAGTTCTTAGACAATTATCTAGCGACAATCTAATAAAATAGGAGAAATCTACAGTGGAACAAGAACTTAAATCCAAAGAAATAACAAAACAATTATTTATTTATTTATACATTTCTATTTTCAAGGAAAAAAAATTAAATGAATAAGAAGTTTTTTTTTCCCTTTTTTTTTGTTTTGAAGAGAATCACAAAGTGGTTGTGGAATAAAATAAGTGGTTGTGTGGGGGATATCAAGTGCCGCTAAATAAACAAAAGGGCAAAAACAAAAGGATGGAGTGGCCTCCATTACTGCATATAGGGAAAAATTATTGATTAGTCTTAGAATGTTACGTGGATATATTTTATATTAATTATAATTTATTTTTTTTAATATTTTCTAATTACTTAATATAAATTTGTAAATTTTATTTATTTTATCAATCACAATGTCATCAAGTTATATAAATTTGTAAATTTTATTTATTTTATCAATCACAATGTCATCGAGTTATCACATGATAATGTCCCAAGAATAATTAATAATTTCTCTCATAAAGGACGACCATATTAAGGCTAAGTTTGGCATCTTCCAAAAAATTCAAAAAGTTAAAAAGTCACTATCCTATTTAAGTCACATCATCTTATTTAAGTCACATCACTTCTCTAATACATCACTTCAAACCTAACCAAAATCTAACTCATATTTCATAAAAATTCAAAAAATACACTTATTTAATCTTTCCAAACTTGACCTAATTATGCCTTTCCTTCACTTGGAAAATTTATTGAGAAAGAAGGAACAATCCGTGTCTAAAAGGCACTCAGCAATTCTTTTAATATGACACGTTGTACAAAACTTAATTAAAATAAATTAATTTAGAAGGACAATAATTTTATTGTACTATGAAACTCAATTATTATAAATTAATTTACAAAAGGATGGAGTGGCCTCCATTACTGCATATAGGGAAAAATTATTGATTAGTCTTAGAATGTTACGTGGATATATTTTATATTAATTATAATTTATTTTTTTTAATATTTTCTAATTACTTAATATAAATTTGTAAATTTTATTTATTTTATCAATCACAATGTCATCGAGTTATCACATGATAATGTCCCAAGAATAATTAATAATTTCTCGCATAAAGGATGACCATATTAAGGTTAAATTTGGCATCTTCCAAAAAATTTAAAAAGTCAAAAAGTCACTATCCTATTTAAGTCACATCATCTCATTTAAGTCACATCACTTCTCTAATACATCACTTCAAACCCAACCAAAATCTAACCCATATTTCATAAAAAGTCAAAAAATACACTTATTTAGTCTTTCCAAACTTGGCCTAATTATGCCTTTCCTTCACTTGGAAAATTTATTGAGAAAGAAGGAACAATCCGTGTCTAAAAGGCACTCAACAATTCTTTTAATATGACACGTTGTACAAAACTTAATTAAAATAAATTAATTTAGAAGGACAATAATTTTATTGTACTATGAAACTCAATTATTATAAATTAATTCAAAATGACAAACTTCACACATAAGAGGAATAGTGAATGAATATTTTGATACAAAAGAGTAATTATCGTAACTTATTAAAAACAAAAAAATTAATCATTCAGTTAAGAATAAAAGAGCCAACCACCAACACACATAGAAAAAAGCAATACAATCACAATATTTCTAATGTGGGTTAGTCACCTGCAACAAAATCACTTTAACGATTGAATTCGACTTTAAAAAATCAGTTAAAATAAATCATAACAGGAAAAATCATTCAAAATATTTATGAGAAATTGGAAAACTAATAGCTATGTTTTAAGAGGAATTAAACATAAAAAAATTTCTAGCATAACTCTTCTTGATAAAAGCACCAGTTTCTTTCCCAATTTACCTACAATTATCAAACTAAATACCAGTAATTATCACATTCACACTTGGAACACTTTTTTTGTGATCAAAATACATGTGATTCCCTATAGAAGGCTAAAGAAAAAAACTGTTTAAAAAAAAAATTACCATATAAAAAAAATGTTGTAGAGACCCTAATTTTTGGTAATTACACATGAAACCCTAAGCCTTAGTTTAATAGCATTTTAGCACCTAATTTCGTAAAAGTCTGCAAAATGGCCCAATAAAGAATAATTTTCCTGTATATTATCAAAATTAAACCAAGAACACCACCTTATAATTGGAAATACCCTAAAACTTGGTTTTTATTTATTTACCTCTTAGTTTAAAAATTAATTCATACATTTTATTTTTATTTTTATTTTTATTTTTTTTGTTGTTCTTTTATTTATTATTTATTTGAATAGAATATTATTTATTTGAATGTTTATTATTTATTTGAATCGAATATTATTTATTTGATTATGTACATAGGTGTCACAAATAATATTTTGGTGGAAAATTGATTGAAAAACAAAATAAAAAAATATCTAGATATTTATGCTTCCTTAGTCATTAAGCTAAGACCAAGCTTATTTCCTATAAATTAGGAGCCTTGTCTCAATTCCACACACACACATACCAGCAGCCAAGGAGAGGGTGAGAGAAGGAGAGTGTGATTAGAGGGAAGTAAAGAAGAAGAAGAAAAGAAAAAAAGAAAATGAAAAAAATGGTGCCTTCTAGGGCCAAGGTAAGAACACACCCTTCCATGTCTTCTCCAATTCTTTCACCCCAGCTCATCCTATTATCTAGATACTCTCTTGTGTTGCATATTAATGGTATATAGGGTTTTTGATGTGTATGAAAGTGTGAGTTTGATTTAGTGATTTTGCCTTACAAATTTTCCAAATTATGCACTGCTGCAACTTCTCTAATTTAAAAGAAATATCAAACCTAATTATTTTTCAAATCTGAATTTAGTGTAGGCTATTTGGTGTGTTTAGAGCTTGTGGTAATTTTACTAGCCCCTGATTATGTGTTTTTAGGGCTTGGATATTTTATTTAGAAATCTGGTCCTGAGTCTCTGAAAAATAGTCCACTTCTTTCAATTTTATAAAATTCCATAAAAATCATCTCATGTTGGTTCTTCTGTCAAAACTTATAATTCTGAGTCCTCTTTCCAATGGAATTTATTTGGGTGAAAATCATTGGGTAGATTGAGAGGAAAGCTAGTTTTCCCAAAGGGTAACAAATCTGGATAGGTTTTTGAATATAGCTTGTAGATGAATTTCTGGAGGTGCTGTGCAAATTCTGAGAATTGGAATTGAAACTAGACAAATTAATTATTTTTTCTGTGCAATTTCAGCTCCTAATTTGACTTAGAAGTATTTTTCCCAAAGCATTCTTGTTAGCCCTGCAGAACCGAACTATGCTGAAAATGGTGTTTTATTGTGTTATTTGTCTCTAAGTAATTTAAAGCATGTCTAATGTTATTTGCTTGCCTTACCATACTTATGTATGCTTATCATGGGCTATATTTCTTCTCTTATGTTTGTCTCGTGCTCTTTTATATTACCAAATTACCAAATGTGACTAACTTGCTTGGCAAAAGATCCAATAAACAGGAAATGATAAGGGGTTGGCAATGGGTGACGTTCACATTAGTGTTGGAATAATTTATACATATGAATGGCATGAATTATGATGTGATTAAAACCAAATGAGTTAAGTCTTGCGCAAGCGGTCTAAGCGAGCCCCTAGGTTGACACAGATGTATTCAGACTCTATGCGGTGGTTTCGGGGTGTAAGCGAGCCCTTTGGTATGGTAAGTGCAGGGCGTAAGCGAGCCCTAGGCACAATTTGGGTGTAAGCGAGCCCACTTGTTTGGCTATCCCTTTTGAGGTCCGTCAATGTCACTGACCGGTAAATAACCAGGAGGTGGGCATAGGTGGTAAGGTCTGCAAAGCAGCAAAAGGGGGAGTTCTGAATAGTCCGGTGTTCAATCCTTGTGATTGGGTAGAAGGATCTCTTTGGGGGATTCTAGATGTCTAGTCTAACTACTAATTCATAGACACTTGTTGTAATATTGTATGTTATGTTACCTATTTTGTTCTGTGTATGGTTGATTGGCTGATAGAAGATATGGAGGTGTGTGTGTTTTTACTGGGCATTCCAAGCTCATGACGTGTCATGCCAGGTGATGAAGCAGTTTACAATGGTGAAGGTTATTTCGAAGGGAAACAAGATAAAGTGTTGGAGCTGTGGTTCATTTGAAGACTTAGACTAGTTGTTTTTTTTTCCTTTTTCCTTTTGGTTTGGCAATGTTTTGGTAATCCTGTAATGGAACATAAACGAATTATCTGTGATATTAACTATGGTTATATATGTATATTAAGATGTTCTGGGTATCTATCCTACTTGTGTTGTATTATTGTGCGTATTTAACGGCCCGGAAGTTGGAGCGTTACAAATGTAACACTTAATAAAATCCAAACGGACTAATAACGACAAAAACTAAGAGGCAAAACAAATTATTGGATTAAGACTAAAAGATAGGACACCTAGTCAAGGTTCCTTGCCTTCATAAGTGTACTGTAGCTAACCAATTTATTCCATTCAAAACAATTTGCCTTGAGTTGGAATAGAGTATCTTGGAACTAAATACGAAAAGCAATATGGAGTCCCACATTTCCTTTTACATAGTGTTAAAAAAAAAAAAAAAAGACAATGCTTCCAAATACCTTTGAGAATTACCAAATGCATCCATCACTACAAAACAGTGAATTAGTATTACAAAAGATTGTTTCAATTCCTTCTACTTCCACGAGATGAAGAACTTTTATAATTTGTTTACATAAAGCCACATAAGAATCATATAATTAAGCAGGTTAAATAAATAGGCATTGAAGAAAAAGTATTCACCTAAAAAGGCATTGAAAAAAATTATTGATTTCATTAGATAGTGATGAGACGGTTCGAATCTTTAAAATCTAAGATCTTAGGCCCGTTTGTTTAAGGAGTTAGAGCTGGGATTGGAATTGAGATGGAGGTGGGACCCACTATATGTTATGTTTGTTTTAAGAGATTGAGAGGGGATTCCTAATCCCTTGGTATTAGGATGGGCCGTGGGGAGAGTATTAGGATGGAAGCTTGGAACTTGGAATTAGAAAAATAATCTACCGGACTATTTTTATTTTTTATATTATATTTTTTACATGTTGGATATATATTTTTTTTTTGAACATTAATGTTTAATTTTTGTATTTTTTGTTAAGTAAAAATCATAGTTTTATTTTTTTTTAATTTTTTTAATTTTTTGTGGCATTTTTTTTGAACGTTAATTTTTAATGTTTTTGTATTTTTTATTTATTTTATATAAAAATAATTTAACAATCCCTACACCAATAACTATCATCAAAACAAACACAATTTATTTAATCCTCTTACTACGAATTCCCTACATTCTACCTTTAAAAACAAATGGGGCCTTATACAATTATTAATAGTACATTATCTCCCTATTTCTCACTTAATCCCATTAAAAGAAATAATTACGAATGCATTTAAACTAATAAAAATAAAGGAAGACTTATTTATAAGTCATTTTCAGACACTTATGGTAGGTTAAGTTCTGTGTAATTTCTTATAGTCTCAAGTCCTATATAGATAGGAATGTATTCCACAAGATCCTACATAAACGTAACGTAACATGACGTGACACTTGCATAAACGTAACGTAACGTGATACTTACATAAACGTATCGTAACGTGACACCTACATAAATATAACGTGACACATACATAAACGTAACGTAACGTGTTACGTTACGTTTCACAAACTTAATGAGTTTTTATTTTTTAAAATTGAATGTGAAAATGTTGCTAGTTTATGTTGGTGTCACGTTACGTTTCATATAAATATGATCTATGGTAATATTCAATTTCCTATATAGGAAATTTAATGTTGCCATAGATCGTAGGTGTCACGTTACGTTTATGTAGGTGTCACGTTACATTACGTTTATGTAGATATGATCTATGGCAACAATCAATTTCATATAGGAAATTGAATGTTGCCATAGATCATAGGTGTCACGATACGTTTATGTAGGTGTTACGTTATGTTACGTTTATGTAGATATGATCTATGGTAACATGCAATTTTTTATATAACGTGACACCTATATAACATGCAATTTTCTATGATATATGATCTATGGTAACATGTTACCATAGATCATAGGTGTTACGTTACAGTGTCACGTTACGTTTATGTAGGTGTCACGTTACGTTACGTTTATATAGATATGATCTATGGTAACATTCAATTTCCTATATATGATTTTACTATTATTTATGATATTAACAACTAATATTAAGGGTAAATGTGTTAACAAACTTTCCACAGGACTTATGGGAACATAAGTTTTTTTAATAGAATCATATATAGTATAAGTCTCCCTACTAGGACTTATAAACAATTTTCCCAAAAATAAAATCCATGAGATCCATGGCCATCAAATCCACTATCTTGTTGTGCTCTTTGGTCAATATTCACTTATCCAACTTTTCATTGGAAGAAAAATTCCGAACATGCAAATCAAAAAACAAAAACAAAAAAAAAAACAAATTTGCCATCTCACTAAATTTAAAATCTTTGTTTTTAATGAACATAACCAATCACGTAGTTCATGGCAAAATCAATATTACACTTATTACTACATTTCTAAATATGTATCACTGTCAGAATTAAGAAAAGACCATAATATTACATTCAATTATAAGAGAAATATTAGATATCCAAATGTTTTATCAAATTTCTTATCAAATATTAGTGAGTGTTTGATAGAAATTTTGATAAAATATTTAAGATTTCTAATATTTTTAAATTTATTATTTGAAAAATTCTACTCTTCACACAATTTATAAAAATCATAATTAAAAATTACTAGAGGTAATAATTGGATATATGAGGCATCCAATAAATAGATGTGTATGATTTAATTTTTCATATTATTTTAAAGATCACACTAAACACGTTCTTACAAAGTAAATTCTAAATTCTAAATATTTATAACTAGCCTATCACCCGTTCTATGCACGGGATAATAATAGATATTTATATTTATTTTAAATTTATTTTAATATATAAATTATATTTTTTAAGATTTTTTATAAAAATAATTTAACAATCTTATCACTAACCATAGTGTATAAGAGAAGTTAAAAAGAGTACTGCAGTAACTATACACGGATTGTATCTATAATTATTTGTATGAAGGGATTTTAAATGCTGATCAGGGGATTGTATCAATAAATGCAGGCATGTGGAAAGACATGTGGATTGAAAAAAGTTAATAAAAGCTGATCAGGAAATTTTGACCAAATCAATAAATGCTGAGTTTTTTTTTTTAATAAAAAATTAAAAAAATTCAGATTGGAATATTGAAACTCCCATAGGCCTTGGGGGTTAAAAATCCCCTCTTGCTTAATATATAGTATAGTATAGATATGGATAATATAACATAGATAGACAGATGTGTTGAAATTTTCAAGGAATTTTGTTTATGCTGGTTTTTAATGCATTAAAGTTTAATTATGATGGGTTTTGACCACATCTCCCAAAAGGCATGGGGATTGGGAGAAATTAATAAATGCTGAGATTTTTTTTTTAAATAAAAAAATTAGAAAATTAGGATTGAAATATTGGAACTCCCACAAGCTTTGGGGGTTAAAAGCCCCCTTTTGCTTAATATATAACTAGCATATCACCCGTGCTATGCACGGGTTTAATTTTTTTTTTAAAAAAACCATTCATAGTTATGTCAAACATATTTTTAAATTGTTAACATAAAATATATGTAATTTCAAAAGAAAATATTGACATTGCATAATTAAAGTAATAAAAATAAGAATTTATTACATTTGTTCAAAATTCACTGAATAAGTAAAACCAAAAATAACTAAAATCTAAAAGATTAAATAACATTAAAAAAAAAACTCATTGAACTAACTACAACAATCATGTTTAAAAAAAAAAAACATTGAACAAATTACAATCACATCACATTTTTTCCATAATAAAATAGATAAATGAAAAAAAAAGAACTATTAAACTAACTACAATCATATTTAAAAAAAAAAAAGAATCACTCAACTAATTATAATCACATTTTTCTCTTTGTAAGGGTTTATATTTATCTAACTTCAATCATATTAAAAAATCAAAAAATAAAATTAAAATAGCAAATAAAAAGATTAAATAACATTAAAAAAAATCATTGAACTAACTACAACAATCATATTAAAAAAAAAAAAGCCATTAAACAAACTATAATCACATCACATTTTTCACATAATAAAATAAATAAATGAAAAAAAAAACTATTAAACTAAATTACAATCACATCACATTTTTCACATAATAAAATAAATAAATGAAAAAAAAAACTATTAAACTAACTACAATCACATTAAAAAAAAAAGAATCATTCAACTAATTATAATCACATTTTTCTCTTTGTGGGGGTTTATATTTATCTAATTTCAATCATATTAAAAAATCAAATTATAATTTTTTATTCGCTAGACAAATCACAAATATTTTATGCGCTATCTAACTACAATATTAAAATAGTAAACAAAAGGAAAAGTTAAGAAGGAGAAAACAAAAAGAAGACTTACTGTTTACATACGTGGTCACTGAAGTGAGAAGTCAAGAAGGAGAAAACAAAAAGGAGACTCACTGTTTACAATAGGTATGTAAAAAGTTAAAAAGAGTGTGTGTATTGGAGAAGTTAAAAAGAATTGGAAGAATTTAATAAGTGCTAAGTTTTTTTTTTTCAAAAGAAATCAAAAAAATTAAGAAATTATATTGGAACTCCCACAAAACTTGTGGGTTAGAGATAGATATAAATATATAGATAGATATAGATATAGATATAGATATTTATATTTGTTTTAAATTTTTTTTAATATACAAATTATTTTTTTTGGAAATGGTATTGCAGTAATTATGAGATAAGTTAAAAAGTCTTGTGGGTTGAGAGAAGTTAATAAATGCTAAGGTTAATTTTTTTTTTTAAAAAAAACAAAAAATTTAAAAATTATGATTGGCAT